GACCCCCACTACAAATCCTTTGACAAAGTGAGGCACAACTTCATGGGCAACTGCACCTACACCCTGGCCAAAGTGTGCTCCAACACCACCTCCCTGCCCTACTTCAACGTGGAGGCCAAGAACGAGCACCGTGGCAACACCCGAGTGTCCTACGTGCGCGAAGTCGTGGTTGAGGTGTACGGACAGCGCATCGTCATCACCAAGCAGCAGACGAGCCACGTGCTGGTAAGCAGTGGGGCTGGCTCCTGTGGGGTGTGGCTGCAAGGCAGGGCTGGCTGCAGCTGGCAGGGCCTGGCAGGTGCCAGGGGTGGCTTGGTTCTCTTGAAGGCACTGGGTCACTTTGTTTTGCCTTTCTGGAGGGGCTGCACGAGGAAGAAGCCGATGGGGAACGTGGGCCCTGTTGAGTACAGTGCAGAGCACAACAGACAGCTCTGTGAGCCCCAGTGGTGTTGGGGTGTGAGGACATCCCAGGCAGCTGTTTGCCATGCCTGGGCTGCCAGCTGCTTTCCCTGGGCAGGAGCAGCCAGGGAGGCTGGGGACAGGCGCGGGGCTCACTGTGGCTGTGTGCCGTAGGTGAACAACGTGCGGCAGACGTTGCCGGTGAGCGCAGCGGGAGGGGCCATCACGGTGAGCAAGAGCGGTCGCTACATCGTCCTGGAGACAGACTTCAACCTCAGAGTGTCCTACGACACTGACCACACAGTGGAGGTGAAGGTGCCCACCACCTACTTCAACCTGACCTGTGGCATGTGTGGCAACTTCAACAACCGCAAAGACGACGAGTACATGATGCCCAACGGGCAGCAAGCCGCAAACTCCAATGAGCTGGGGGAGAGCTGGCAGGTCCCGGACAGTGACCCCTCCTGCGGTGTCCCTGTGCCTTCCCCGCCCTGCAGCGCAGAAGAGGAGGAGCTCTACCGCTCCGACCAGTTCTGTGGCCTACTGACCACCAGGCCTAGCTCTTTTGAGAATTGCCACGGCGTGATCAACCCCCAGGACTACTTTGACACCTGCTTGTACGACCTGTGTGCCCTGAATGGTGGCCAGGAGTTCCTGTGTGCTGCTCTGGAGGCCTATGCCGACGCGTGCCAGGCAGCTGGTGTGACTGTTCTTCCCTGGAGGAATGCTACCTTCTGCCGTGAGTACCTGTCTTGCCATTGGCAGAAAGGGAAAAATGGGCCACACCCTCTGCTCTGAACCTCTGGCCAAAGCCAGTCTTTGGTCATTCCCTTCTCACTCGGCTGTCCATGGTTGAAGTCTTGCTGGTGCTAATTTTCCCCTTCCCATTGCAGCTCTGCAGTGTCCCCCCAACAGCTACTATGACCCCTGCATGACCGGCTGTCCTGCCACCTGTGTTGACCAACAAGCCCCACAGAACTGCTCCAAGCCTTGTGTGGAGGGCTGTGCATGTAGCTCTGGCTTCCTCCTGAGTGGAGACACCTGTGTGCCCGAGGCCAACTGCGGCTGCCTCTTTGAGGGCAACTACTACACTGTGAGTGAAAAGCCTGCCCTGCTTTGCACCCCTGTCAGGCCACCCCTCTGCCTGTGCTTTCCTGCCTCATCCACTGAGGTTTGGTGTTTCCCTGCCTGCAGGAAGGCGAATCCTTCGTGAATGAGAACTGCACTCGCCGGTGCCGCTGTGAAGCCAAAGGCCAGATGGTTTGCTCTGCCTTGTCCTGTGGTGAGGACGAGGTCTGCAAGATCCAGGATGGCCAGAGGGGCTGTTATCCAGCCAACACTGCCATCTGCCACATCTACGGTGACCCACATTACAGCACCTTTGATGGGAAGCTCCACCACTTCCAGGGCTCCTGCAACTACACAGTGGTGACGGGCTGTGACAACTCCTCCGTCGGGTTCAGTGTCACCACCCGTAACAAACATCGTGGCAGCCAGAGCTGGACAGCTCTGGACTCTGTGGCGCTGTCCCTCGAAGGCCTCCACATTGCACTGCGCAAGCACAAGGCCGTCTACGTAAGGCTCTCATTTTTATACCTGGGAACAGCAGGCATGCTGCACACCCTTAAATTACCCCCAGGGTATTTTAATAGTCCCCAGGGAGAGCTTGCTATTCCCTGAGCCTGCTGCACGCTCACAGAAGAGCCTGTTGGGGCTCTGAATGGGCCATGTATGGCTGCTCATGGAGACACAGATCCTTGGTTACTTTCCTGAGCTTTCAGGGTGCCGCTGTACAGTTGCTGCTGTCCTCGTAGGCCTGAGCAGGGTTCCTCCTGCCACCAAAGCTGTTGGCTCGCTGGCACTGGCACAAGCCTGGTGGGAAACAGTGACCTCTCAGTGGAGGGCACCTCTTCATGCTTCCGTCTCCTTCTGTCCCCCTTCTCCAGATCAACGGTACTCTGGTCTCCCTGCCCGCTTCTCCTGCCGCCGGTGTGACCATTTCCCTGAGCGGCTCCTACGTGCAGGTTTCTACCAAGCTAGGCCTGCAGCTGCGGTTCAATGGGGACAATGAGCTCCTGGTGAAGGTGTCTGAGAAATACAAGGGCAAACTCTGTGGGCTGTGTGGGACGTACACTGGGAGCCAGCAGGACGACTTCATGCGACCCGATGGGGTGGTGGTACCTGACTTCAATGACTTTGGAGCCAGCTGGATGGTGCCAGATGATGAGTGGCCGTGAGTCCTTGTTCCATCATGCAGATGAAGGACAGAAGGGAATGGGGCAGAGGGGGGCTACGAGGGACACCAGGAGGGAGGGCTGGTGATGGCAAGCATGGGACAATGGAGAAGAGGCTTGTTCCTGACCCCAGGGAGAGTGGGCTGACTCTGGGCAGGATGCTTTTCATAAGGATTGCAACTGGCTCAATCGTTTGCTTGTGTCCACCTGAAACCAGGGAGGGCAATGGTGCCTGTGGGCCATGTGTTCCACCCTTTCAAGTGACAGCCATGGGTGCCTGTCTTAGTGAGGGATCTGGCTTGCAGAAGCTGAGGTTATGGCTTGGGAGGAGGTCAGGAAATGCAGTGGCTGCTGTCAACAGGCTGCAGGGAACTCAGGGCTGCCTGTCTGCTTTGTAGGTGTGACCCAGCCATCAGCCCACCTGCATCCTGCTCCCCTGAGGAAGAGGAGGCAGCTAACAAGCAGTGTTCAATCCTCACACACCTCGGTGGCCCATTCCAGCCGTGCCATGCAGTTCTGCCGCCCGAGACATACTTTGAGAGCTGTGTCTATGACCAGTGTGCCACGGGTGGCAGCACGGAGCAGCTCTGCAATGACCTGGGGGCCTATGCTGCAGCCTGTGCTGAGGCAGGCGTTGCTCTGGGAGACTGGAGTGCTGGCACTGTCTGTGGTAAGTCTTCTGTTGACCTCCTTGGATTTCCTTGAATCTCAGAGACAGAGCATGGGGCAGTTTTGGGGCAGTACAGGGGGCAGAGATTTCCCCATGTATCACATAACTAGGCACCCACTCTGGTGGGCCAGCCAGCCCTTGCATGAAGAGACTCTTCCGGACAGGTACAATCCCCGTCCTGCACTTTGTTTGCAATGGTGTAGGAGTGTTTGGGAAGTGTGCAACATCTCCATTTGGGAACAAATCTCCGTTATCAAACATGCCTTCTCCACTTCTGTTTCACTCTGTTTCATTCACCAGCTCCTACAACCCCACCCCCCTTGCCAGGCACTACAACGCCGCCTCCAAATACAACAACATCACCGTCACCTGGGACAGGCACAGGTACTGTTGTCTCCCATCTGTGTTTGGTAGTGGCTGTGCTGAGCACTTCCCCTTGACTGGCCACCCTCACCTGTCCACGGGCATGCCATGGTTGTACATGGATGTACCTGAGCCCTGCTGGACATGGGGAAAAGGTGGCCCCACCCTCACTCTACAACCTCTGCTTTCCTTCCTGCACCGTGTTCAGCTCCACCAACAGACTGTAATGTTGCCTGCACATTTGTCAATGATTTCTATGGGTGGATCCTGGAAGATTACAGCAGCTTTTCCTTGCTAAGCACACTTCCAGAACATCTTTTCTCTTCTGGGAGTCTTTCTGCCTTCCATGTCTATACATCTTCCAATAGGTCTCTTTGCCACAGTGTTGATGGTTTTGTAGGAATACAGCAGCTATGTGATAGTTATCTCACGCACTCTTTATTGCCATGTCCATATATATTTAAATTAGTCTTTTGTATGGCAAGTTTTCGTCTGTTATACGGATGTATAAAAGCTCACTGCTCCAGTTTATATAATGATGTCTTAATAATGCCTTTTACCCAACTTTCTTCATCAACCTCTATCACAGATTTCTCATACACAAGAGTAGATTCTTTGTGGATCCAAAGATAGATGGCAGGGTTGGCCTTTGGAGTGCTATTGACTGATGTCATCACTGCTACATCTGAGCAACAAATACAACATAAAATAAACATACTGGAAACCAAGCAGCAGCAAGTCTGGTAAAGACTCAGAGAGATTTTTTCTTTCTTCGCAGATCGTGCTTCCTGCAGTGCCTCTGGGGACCCACATTACAACACTTATGACCACAAAGTCCATAATTTCATGGGAAATTGCACTTACACCCTCTCCAAAGTGTGCACTGTCTCTGAGGGCCTTCCATACTTTGATGTGTCCACAACAAATGAGCACAGAGGAGCCAACACCAAAGTCTCTTATGTGAAGTCAGTGCATGTGGAAGTCTATGACAATCAGATTTCTCTGCTGAAAAACAAGAAAGTGAATGTAAGAATTTAAGATATATAATTTTTAACTGACCTGCAGATAATTATTATCTCTGTAGAATTTATAACAAAACTTTGTCTTTTTGTTAATGATATCGACCTCTTTTAATGAAATCTCCAACAAACTTTCTCAGGTGTTCTTTAATCAGTTCCAGTTTCCCTGTGCACAAGATCCTATCTTTCAGCAATCTGTACTAGCTGGTGATAGTTGTAGGAGTCCCAGGAGCCATACACTTACTTTCACAACTTGCTGTACAGGTGAATGGTCAAAGAATGAACTTGCCTGTATTTATTGAAAAGAAGATCAGTATTCAAAGCAGTGGTGGATATGTTCTCTTGGAAACTGACTTTGGACTGTGGGTGAGATATGATGGAAATCATTATGCAGAAGTGTCTGTGCCCTCTAATTACAGTGGTCTGCTCTGTGGCCTTTGTGGTAAGTGGTAGCTGGTAATTACTTAAAACTTTTTTTGTTAGCATGTAGAAATTACAAGAGTAGTTTGTCTTGCAAGTTTCTGATTATTCTTTGGTTTAGATTATCTGGAATTTTCTAGTTCAATTATCTCTTCATGAGTTTTTCACACTTTCAGTACAGGAAATCTACCTAAGAATATAATGGTGCAAATAGCACTGTTTAATTTTTAGTCCAACATTCTACATGTAGGATGCAAGAAAATTAGTAGGGATTTTTTAGATAAGTTTTTTCTTGGATGCCATGTAATCCAGTTACATTGGAACTTACAGACTTCCTGCTTCAAATGTCTGAGCAGCAGCTCTTGTCAGTAATCAGAACACAATTCTGCTCTTATTTTGCCCAGTACAGATTGGCATTACATACTTATTCTCCCTATCTCAATTTATTTTACAGCCTGAAACCTAGGTTTTTTCTACAGGCTTGAACTTCATAAATCCCATAAATCTCTTTTTACCCTCACAGGTAATTATAATGGTGATCCAAATGATGACAATATCAAGTCCAATGGTGACATTGCAAGTGATTCCACTGATCTTGGAGAAAGCTGGCAGGTGCCTGAAAATAACACCATGTATGTAAAATCATTTCATCATGTAGCATTTTCTGAGCATTTTAAAACCAAATATCTATCTACTTGATGGCTTTTTCATCCAGTGCCATTCTACATCTTCCAGCTGCCCATGAGAGGCAGGGAGCTGGACTTTCACATAAACCAGTGAGTGATAAGAGGGCTTGTGTCCTTTAAGTCTCATTTTCCAAAGCAGGAACTGTCTGTTGAGTGTGAGGGAGGTTGGTACATCACTCCAGTTCCCTGATTGGAAACCATAACTGTTTGGATTGCATAGCTCTTTTTTTTTCAACTAAGAATAAGCCTTTGAATCACCCAGAAGGGATCAAAAAAGAAGTCCATTTAGTGAGAGGGCTGACATCAGCTTTTCAAAGAAGCTGGATAAAGTCTTGTGACAGAAATAAAATGCACTCTTTTGTGCAGAGTTGTCATGTATTAATTTTCCACTGAAAATCTGACAGTAAGAGATGTGAAACATGTTTGATTTGTTTGCTTTCTCCAGATGCTCCAGTGGTGGGACAGAAGAGCAATGTGATCCTGTGTTGGAGACTGAAGCAAAGAAAAACACAGCATGTGGCATGATCACAGACCCGACAGGTAGTGTGTTGGTAGATTCCTGTGAGCCAGGTGACAGAGCATGGTATTGCTTGTTTTGTCCCTTCTCTATAGTCTCTTTTTCTGAGCTTGTATTGGAAGCATATAAAGCCTCCAGTGTGAATGGCCAATGTAAAACCCAGAGGTGCCTGGCCAGAATATGTCATCTGTTCAGACAATGCCAGTGTGTCCATGAATTTTATCTGAGAAAATGCGCAGGGAACATGCTGCTCTTTGTGTTATGGTGACTTGTACTCTGCTTGCTAAAAAGTAGTTCAGATGGACTGTCAGTGTGTGTGTGTTACAAACACTTGATCTGAAATTCTGTACATGTTCCCTGTAGTTGTCTAGAATTAGTGGTTTTCCTAGGCAGCAATGCTTAATCTATGTAGGTTGTGTTGTATCAATCATGCAAAATGAAGAAAACCTGATCCAGGGAGCCCATTCTCATACTGTGCATTGTGTATCCATTTCAAGTACTGGATTAATTTACTTAACACAGCCTGGAACATCCACAATGTGTTTGCTGTGACAGAAAATACATGGTGGTCAGTCTTAACATTCCAGTGGGTTTTTTCTATCCTTCTATATATCTTCCTTGATTTACACAGGTATCTTCAAGGACTGTCACTCCAAGGTGCCTCCACAGAATTTCTTTGAAAACTGTGTTTATGATATGTGTTTCACTGGGGGACAAGCAACATCCTTATGCTATGGACTGCAGGCCTATGCTGAGTCGTGTGTCAATGCTGGGATATGCATAGAATGGAGGAATGCTACTCTTTGCCGTGAGTGTTTTGATATAGTTATCTATTCTGAATTTTAATTTCATTGTCCATTACCTTTTCCTTGTGTGTTATTTCATTTTATGCAATGTTCTGAGTATAGCCTGTCTTTCATAATGCCTTGAGCCTGCTTCAGGTTCAGAACCATTCCAGGATTTGTATAAACCACTAATTTTCTGAACATTAGGATACATGCAGATTAAATCCTTAAAGTTGCGTAATATTTATCATTTGCTATTAGTTTCTTGGAAAAGTCTGATTACATTCAATTGTGTCTTATGTGAGGAATAAGTTCCTTTGCTTCAGTGAAAATCTACCATCCTCAATATAAATGGAGGTAGTAGTCCTCCATAAGACATGTCTATCAATGGCATTTGGTTAAAAAAATAAGAGACCTTGAAAAACAGCTCTTTCTAGGAAGTGCTCTATTTCTCTCTAAAGCAAAGAAATTGAATACTGTCACATCTTGATTAATTCTCTTTAGAATGACCTTATGGCAAATTTACTGTAATGAACTCATATTTCTAATAATAGAACTTTCCAGGAGTCTCACTGGTGCTGATTTTAAGCAACACTGGACAGCTTTCTGCTTGTCACACATAGAATCATAGAATTCTTGAATGGTTTGGCTTGGAAAGGACCTTAAATATCATCTAGTTCCAGCCCTCCATGGTCAGGGATGCCCTCCATTAAAACAGCTTTCTTAAAACCCCATCCAACCTGGTCTTGAAAAATTCCAGGAAAGGGGCATCCACAACTTCTCTGGGCAGCATTTTCTAAAGGACATGTAAGTCCACAAACTACACACCTGGAGGGAAAAGAAATTCCTCTAAAGGTCAACCATACTTAAAATAAACCATAATTGTTCTCTATGCTTTTTTTGTCTTATACTAATTTTTGTTATACCACTTACCACTGGATTATCTTTTGCAGATCTGCACCTTTTTTATTATGTTTTTTTTTTAATGTGAACAATTAGCTCTTCATTTAAACTAAACCATAAAAAATTGATAGGTTTGAGGAGCTGGTCAGTTTGGAAGAATTACTGTGATAAAGCATCCAGTAAGTCAGCCCTGAGAGGACAGAACACAGAGAACTTTTACATAAAAAGAAGATAGAACAAGAAAAGAGTGTCTAACCCTCCAAATCAGATTAAAGACGTGTACATCCACACTCCATAGTCTGAGGCTATAGGCCAGGATCTAATAGTCTATGGTTTCATTATAGTAATAGAGAAAAGTCAGTAACATTAGAAAGACTGACTCTCAAGTGCTCTCTTCATCAATGATTCAAATAAAAACTCAGTTAAGGTCCTGACCAGGGGAAGGAAGTCTGGCTAGATGACTGGAGATGTTGGCTCTAATTGTCTGACAGGACTAAGAGATCCTGTTGTAGAGACAGAAATAAATGAGAATCATATGTAGTGATTTATAACAGAATCCAGCCAAACCTATGTTTTTCTGTGGTTTTCTAGATGACAGAAATGGACAAATGCTTCAGTATTTCTGTAAAATGGTTTGTTATCCCTGGGGACCATGTTTTGAGTGATAGAAGCCCAATTCTACTGTAAGCAGAAGGGGTGTGAAAGTATATTGTTCTCAAGGAGTCTCAGTGAAAGACAGAGTGTGATTTTTAGTTCTATTTTGGAATATATAGCAGATGCTCAAATAGTAACTACAGTAATAGGGACATATCAACTGGTATGGCAAAAAATTCTTCTATTTCCATAACTGTGTCACTTTATGCCTCGAAATCAGCAGAAAAAGGCTTGTACTCAGCACTCTCCTGTCAGATTTTCTAACAGCCATTTTGTATATTTTCAGGAGCAAACAGTGAAAGCATCAGGAAAACCTTTATTATGATTTTGCCCTTTTGAGTGATCTTATTTTTTCTCTTTATTTAGCAATGTCCTGTCCTGGAGGCAGCATCTACAAGAGCTGTGGTACTAGGTGTCCCTCTACCTGTTTGAACATCTCAGCAGTTGATTCCTGCAGTTCTTTGCCAGTGGAAGGTTGCTTCTGTAAGGAAGGCTATGTTTTGAGTGGAGACAAATGCGTGCCAGAAAGCAACTGTGGTTGTGTTGATGAAAAAAACCAGTATCACCAGGCAAGTTACATCAGATATTAAAGAAAAAAAGGAAAAAAACAAAACCAGGGCATCTCATTCTTTATCACTGTGAGGGAAATACCATGTTAATAATACTACACAATTCATATTTACACCATTAATAACTTCAAAATAGACTTACTTTGCCAGCTTTCGTGGTCCATGAGCTGTGTGGCTACAATTGCCCAAATGATAATATATCATGCACATTCAAATGCTAATACATTGATTTTTCCTTATGTTTTTACCTTCTTGTTTATCTTACACTCTCTCTTCCCATGTAGCTGAATGAAAACTGGTTCACCCGTTTCCCCTGCACTGAGCGCTGCACCTGCAAGGCAAATAACACCATTGAGTGCAAATCCTGGGAGTGTGGAGTCCAAGAGGAGTGCAGTATTCAGGATGGTGTGCTGGGCTGTCATTCCAATGGTGAGTCCTTCCTGACCCCAATGTCAATACTATAATTAAATCCTCTTCTTTTTCTAGCTTTATTATAAATATATTTTCATTAGGGACAGTAAAGAAGTCCGAACAGATTGCTGCCAGTGCTAAGAGATGAAAATGCATGATGTTCTGTCTTGCAAGAACAGATGCCCTCCTGTTGTAGTGGATATCAGCAAAAACTGATGCTGCCCAAAGTTTGCATGATTACTTGGATTCTATTTGTCCTGATAATGAAAATTCAAGTCCCACATCACTGGTGCTACAAGCTTTAAATTTGGTTGCATTTCTATGAGAATTGCATTTCTGTTGGTCTGCATAATGACAAGTGCATTATGTATTGATATATATAGATGCAATTTTATTTACTTTTATATTTACACATTTATACAGTTAATTATGTATTTTTATATAGATAGTAGAAAAGTATTACTCTCAACTATACAATAAATCATAGCTACAACAGCATATAGAAATGTATACAAAAGTTTATTTTGTAGATAATTTGCAAATTAAATTTAGGAGATGCTTTCTGGAAACTTCTTATTTAAAAGTAAATGTCATTGGCATGAACCTGAGATGTATCTCTGAAAGTCTGCCCACATAATAATGATCAGGATGCGGTTGCTCCACTAATGCAAACTGCTTTGATCAGCTGAGCCCATTGTGCAATCCAGTACAAAATTCTTAGATTTTTTTTTTGCCTTCAGGTCAAGCAACATGTCAAGTGGTAGGAGATCCCCATTATTTCACTTTTGATGGAATGAAGTACACTTTTGTGGGAACCTGCACCTACACTTTGGTTGAGGTTGTCAACACTGCCACCAATGTCATTCCTATCACCATACTTGGCAAGAATGAAGACAGGGGACTAAGAGGAGCCACATACCTGAAAGAAGTCTACATAGATGTGCATGGTGTACGAATCACCCTTCAGAAAAACCAAGGAATCCTGGTAGGTGGAGGTGCTCTTTTTTCTAGTAAGAAGTATCTTAAAATTAGCTCACTTAGAACAGCTATAGCAAAAAGGATCTTCACATTTCCTAAGGAACATATATGCATATGCTTAACTCTTGTGGGCACCCCATAAGTGGATTTCATGAGGAAATATAATTTCTTACCAGTTCCCAAGGCTTCTGGTGTGGGTTTACTGTTCTATTGTTTTATATTTTAGAGATTAAATGCAGGGTCTCAGATTGGGGAACTGTTGCCTGAATTAAAATATGTGACTCCCCACTTCAACAACTTTTATAAACCCAGTCACTTATAGCAAGCAAAGCATAATGTATCAGCCTAGAATAACATAGGGAGCCATGGCAGTACTGGAGGCAGGGAATCTGCCCCATAGGTGAGAGCAAGCTTGCTCACTACCTGGGATCTTTACAGTTCCCTGTTAAAAGCGCAGGATACAGATCCTGCCCAGACCTCCACAGATAAAGGCTGATTCCTGCAACCCGTAGTTGGAATATGCAAGGTAGAAATGTAAAAAGCTAAAACTGCCACAGAGAAATCTTCAGCACTGCTAGGAATATAGATTGTGAGCTTTCATGGAAGAATGTCCATACTGACAAATGACACATCTCTCCAGCTGAACAATGAGAGAGTCTACACTCCAGTGCAGGACCGACTGCAAGGCGTGTCCATTGGAATTGTTGGCAGATTTATAGTATTGGAAACTGACTTTGGTATGATAGTGAAATATGATGGCAATCACCATCTGGAAATCACCCTCCCACGCTCTTATTTCTCACAGGTAAGATTTAGTATACAAACATCTGGAGTTGTTTCAAAACTGTTGCTTTGGGCATTTACTCGTTCCTTTTATTCTTGTGTTTTACTATTGCATCTTTCTCAGTAGCTGTATTGTACCACATGTCACTTTTTTCCTTTCTATTTTTTTCTCTTCGCAACAGTTTCTTTGTGTTCCAAGGGGGTAGTTAGAGAAAATTACCTGTCTAAGGGAGTACTTCTAACTTAGAGAAATAAACAGCTTGAAGCCTTAGGGAATCAAAGATTTACTGTAACTTCTGTTTTGTATCTCCATGCGTGCAGTCAGAATGTCTGAAATGTCTGGTACAGGATTGATTGGTGGTGGTGATTTGGTCACGTTATTTCATAGGCAATGAATAAGAAGTTATTGGAGAAGTTGATGCAAAAAGGTCATGCTTAGAATATGGTTCTTTTTCTTCTGCAGGTGCAGGGCATGTGCGGCAATTTCAATGGTAATCGTGAAGATGATCTGTCCTTGACCAATGGTACAGTTGTCACTGCCCCACAGTTTGGAAACAGCTGGGAAGTGGAGACAGACAGTGATAAGGGGTAAATGCGAAATAATTTTCATACCTCTCATCTTGCTTTAGGAAACAGTGAATTGTTTTCAATTGTTTTGACTGTCTGCTACTTTGTAACATATAAGCACTGTCTATCAGACTTTTCTTCAATTTGTAGCTCAAAAACCAGCCATCCCTGCAGGAAACCACTGCACAGGCCAGAGGAAAAACACATCTGTTTTATCAGTCTATGCACACACTTGGAGAATGAGTCTTTGGGGCAGTCCATAGTGCAGACTCTATTTTACACTGGTAACACCCAGAGCAAGATGATGGTGCTGGGGAATGGTGAGGGCCAGCTGCTCTCTGGCAGCCAGGGTCCATCTCACTCTACCAGAGTGAGACAAGCAGGGAAGCCCCACAGAGGGGAGCCAAGGTCAGCCTGGCTCAGTTCAGGTCACCACACAGAAATTTGCAGTGATGAGACAGATCCAAGGTCAAGCTCTGAAGTCAATCCTCTAGTCAGGATCAAATTCAATGAGAGTAACAAGTGTCAGACACAGCGTGGTGGTTGTCAGGCAGGTCCACTTCTGCCCAGCCTTTCATCCATTGACAGAAGGAAGGCCCCAGCCTTTTCTACTTTTCAGTGAAAAGAAACTTTTCCGTTTCAGTCTGCCTTACAGCAGCCTGTGTCTGTGCTTTCTTGCAGTTGTTTGCCAGACTTAAGAGAAGATGATGATCCTCCTTGCACTGCTGAGAATAAACAAGGCATCGAAAGACAGTGCAATGTTCTAAAATCAGACAAATTCAAAGAATGTCATAGTCTAGTCAACCCTGATGACTTCATAGAGATCTGCATCTATGATATGTGCCAGTATGATGGCATGAAGTCTGCTCTCTGTGACATAGTTCAAGTCTATGTGGACACCTGCAAGAACCACGGAATCACCATTAAATGGAGGAATAGCACATTCTGTCGTAAGTACACAAGCAACTGAAAAACTGAAACTTGAATGACTGAAAGCTTGCAAAAATTAGCACAATTAATTGAACAAGTTACATAAAAGAAAATTAAATCTAAATTCTTACAAAATACAATTCTACTATCATGATTTCATTGTTGCACTGAACTGTGTTCACATTCAGAAAAACCCAGAGATAACTCAGAACTAGACAAGTTATGGATATTGATAAGGAGTTAGAATGGCATTGTTAGCAAATGAAATATTGTAGTGAACCTAAAATGTAGAAATAATATAACCAGATGACTAAAAGAAAGAAAGATACTGTGCTAGGACACAGGACTCACTGTGATTTGAACAAAAACTGTCAATTTGCTCAGTGGTTTATTATGAACCCTGTTCTCAGATTAATCTCCAGGGTATATGCCTCACTCCACCCTTTCAACAAAGCTACAAACAAGTTATGTAAAAATTTGTAAAGATCATGTAATAGGGTTTTCTTTGTGTGGGTTTTTTTACAATTTAGTATTATACTGTGGGATTATCACATAATGTTGTGGAGGACAGAACAGTTAACTGGTTAAAAACCAAGTCAGATGAATATTTAATGGATCCATCTCTAGCTGCCTCCTCGCCTTGAGTGGAGGAAAACACTGGACTAACAAACTTTTTGTCATGTCACACTGTTTCTTGAACTGTCCCATTATGCATGTCTAGTCATTGGCATAAATAGAATTTAGAGCTAGATAAACCTGCAGTCTGAGAATGCATATCTGCTGCTCTTGCATGTCTGTAGTCAAGCTAAATTTACATCTGGTTTGCATCAATGGAGGGTTGAATATTTTAAGGAATTTGCTTTTGAGAATCTCATTTCTAGCAGTGCCCAAAGAAGCCTTTGCAGCCAAACTGGAATACTGAATCTGGATAATCTAGTGCCAGGTGTTTCAGCCGTACCTGTAATAAAACTGAATAAGCAGTTCCAGAGAGCATTCTTTGCTGTGCTTTTTTTTAAGTAAAATATAAAAATAAAAACCAGCTGATGATCAAAATCAGCTATGAAAAGGCAGTTCTGTCCTACCATTCCATAGGCCAAGGTGTAGTTTTCAGTGTTTGCAGTGCACTTTGTAAATGTATTTAATAACACTGGCTCTGTTCTCCCACACAGCATTGCCCTGCCCATCCCGGAGCCACTACAAAGACTGTGTCTCTCCCTGCCCATCAACATGCAGTGACATTTTTGCCTCTTCCCTTTGTGACAAGACAGAAGAGTGCACAGAGGGCTGTGAATGTGATGATAATTATGTGCTCAGCAATGGCAACTGTGTGCCTCTCAGCAGCTGTGGCTGCAGGGATGATGACAACAACTACTATAGTGTAAGTAGTTTGTGGAGTAAATCTCTGACTTCAAAACTTGTAGAAAATTGGTCTCTTTTCTATCTTAATATGAAAGAGAGATAGAGATCAAATACTTCAGGATCTACCTCTTAAATACCTTTCATCTGATTAGTAAAAGCTCCTGCCTTGGGTATTAGGAGATATAGAGGCTTGCTTGGTACATTGCACCTGAGGCCAAAACTGAGGCCTATTTTAAAACAGTTGATTGATCAGAATTGTTCAGGCAGGTTTTGTGTTCAAATTCTCATGTTGAAGACAGTAAGATAAATGGACTGAGATTCCCCTCTCACAGGCTTTTGGTGAGACTACACTTAATCAAGCAGTTGTGGAATTGCCAACTGGACAAGGCTGCACCTAGCTAGTGTCCACACCAGTGGCTATTGAATTTCCATTGCACTGCAAATCTGAGCACCTTGATAACATATTATTACCACAACTTGTGTCCAGGCTGGGGAGACATGGCTAACTCCGCACTGCACCAAAAGATGCCAGTGCAAGAAGAACGGTGTCATCAGTTGCAAGAGCTATAGCTGTGATTCCAGAGAAACCTGTGTGATCAAAGATGGAAAACACAAGTGCAATCCAACAGGTATGTGCAGCAGGTCTTCACTTGGGGCTCACTTGAAGGCTGCAAAAGAAGGGAGGATGTGGATGTACATAATTTCTTTCATGGCAATTCCATTCTTTCATGGGGAAAGAAGGCAACCCTGTTTTGTTGACAACATGTTATTGAATATAAAAAGGCCTCAGTTCTCATAACAGAAGGTTCCTATTCCATGCAGAGAATTTGTAGAGGAAAATGGATACCTGGGTATAATTTACTTATATCTAGAAATTTGACAGTTCAGTCTGACTGGTTGGAATAAAATTTCTTTTGAAAGATTCCCACTGCTGAACCCAAAATTCAGCTTATGAATCCTATCACAATGTCCCTATTCTTTCCATTGCATGTTGATTTGAGAACAGGGGGAAAAAAAAGCCCAAATACTAATAAGCAAAACTAAGGGCAGATCTGGACAGATATATGATAGCCCAGTCAGAGGACTTTGGTGCTTTTCATTCAACATTTGTGTTGGCTAGCCAAAGTTAATCCCATATTCTCTAGGTAGATTGAGTTGATTAGCAGAGAACTTGTTGCATAGTGTCCCTACACTTCAGTCTTGAAGTATAGCATGGCATCAGTCCTACTGTACTGAGAATCAATACAAAAGCATAAGGCAAATCCAGTGTCCCCCTGCTGCATTTTGGCAAAATATCTGAGCAGAGACACTGCAGCAGTTTTAAGGGTAGCCTTCCTATGCCTTGCTCCTGGCATAATGGTTTACTCTGTGCTCAGTGATTGAGGAGAATACATGGATGACACTCAGTGTATCTGATTGTTAGGTCTGGTAAACCAAATGATTAGTTTAGTAACCTCAGCAGAAATCACTGACAGCACTGAGTCAGCCAAAATTAAATATTGCTTTTCAATTTTGTAACAACAATGGCAGAAGTTAGGAAAACAACATCTCTTAGGAGGCCACTTCAAGGCGTGCTGGTGTCAGAGTCATTCCTCTACAGAGGGCCAATGTACTCAACTCAGACTCAATAAGTTCTTATAAGCCCTAATGTTCTGCTTCAGCTTAGTTGGCTCACAGCGGTTCTTGGCAGAGGCATGAGTTTCTCTGTCCATCTCTCCATTTGAGTGTCCATTCACTAGAGTGAAGCCTGAGCACCCATCTTTACTTTCAGACCTCTATGCTAGCAGCAGTCATTTTTATGTTTGGACCAATCCAGGCACGGCATCTGGCACATGCACATTTGGACTGAGAGTAATGATGCTCTTCCCTTGCAGGTTTTGGGAGATGCCGGGTGATGGGTGACCCACACTACATCACCTTTGACGGGCTGGTGCACCACTTCCAAGGGAAATACACATACATTCTGTCTCAGACCATCCCTGACCTACCTGACACTCTGACACAGTTCAGCATTGAAGGCATGAACTATCCTTTACGTGGAAGTCGGCGCATTACTTACCTGAAAGAGTTGCTCATCAATGTTTACAACCACACAGTGCGATTCAGGCAGAACAAGCAGATTCTGGTAAGTCCCTCCCTGACTGCAGAGCACAAAGGAAGGCCCTCCCTTGGAGTAAAACACCTTTGAGTAATGAACATTTATTTTAATAATTGAGGCATTAAAGCAAACTGTGTTATTAGGGCACTGCTATGAGGAAACTGCAAATGAGAGTTTCAGTTGTGTCAAGTCTTTTTGCTCCATAGATATGAAAGATACAATTCTACATCAAACAAATAGATTAATAAATACAGTTTTAACAAAGAAACCCCAAATATCCTAAGGCTTACAATAAAGCCACACGAATGGAAAGGCTTGGTAAGGAAAGATTTGTTTTATGCTAGGATAATTTAATTTCCTTCCTCTTTATTGGTCTGTAAGAGCATACATAGCTGCTATATTACATTTTTAGCTCAATAATAGAAATTTCTTTGGATGATAGGAAAGTACTGTGTTCAGATCACTTTCCTCAAGACATTATTTTGTTAACTTAAAAAAATAAATACTGTTAAATTGTCTGATATGTTTATCATAAAACCAGAGCATTGGATTGTAGCATTGACCTGTACTGAAACTAGGTTTTAATTTGTCCTATATATAATGAATTTTAAATTTTTTGTTCCTTGTTAGTTGGATGGTGAGAGGGTGAAGCCCCCTGTTCGACCTCATGAAGGTATTCGTATATACCAGAGGGCAACAAGAATTTACCTGGAGACAGATTTTGGCTTATACCTGAGCTTTGATGGCAATCAAAATGCAGGTAAGTGATGCTAAAAAACTCCCCCCAAAAATGTTCTCATTCCAGAGGAGGTCTAAACCCAAGGCAAAACCTGAAATCTTCACCCTTTGTGCTTATGGTCTTCTGTGATATAAAATACCGGAAAATAACCAGAAAATACCAGAATGAAGTGTTTCCCAGGAACCAGAAAAAGCCATAAAACTGGCATTTCTCTGTCTGGATCCCAGTCAACTTAGGAGAAATGAGATGTAGATTCAGACTGTCATGCATTTTTTTCATGTTAAGTAAGGTCTGAATGATAACAAAAGCAAATCACCTCAAATTGTTACTTGGGATAATGGGGCAAAATCTGCATCTGCCCCTTTGCCAGCTGAACCCAGTCACAGGAGCCATAGGACTGGGATCCTCAGGCTATACACTGTGAGTGTATCATTTTGCATGCTTCCTCTCAAGCCTACTCCAGATAATCCCATTCTCCAGTATTTGTCAGGACTTTCACATGGCATATACACAAGTCACTCATGTAAGCTAGACACATGATACCTCCTCTGTTCAAAGCAGAGTTACTCCTGATTTACAACAACACATAGCTAGAGTATTTCTGAGTGCATGGTGAAAGTTCCAGGCTATTTATTTATATGGCCATCATTCCAAACCCTGAAATTCCAACTGCAGAAAGCAAATGCCTGTCTATAGAAATCCCATTTCTCAGTGATCAAGTGGATTGTAAATGAAGGGTAAAAAGTGGATGATGCATTCCATTTGTAGCAAAGCAGTAAGCAGCATGCACTAAGAGCACCCAGGGAGTGATATAATGTTATATAAAAACGTGTGAAAAACTATTTAATGATCCACATTGCACAGCACAGAAACTGTGAATACATGTGTGAACAGGTATGTTCAGGCCTGTGCTCTTGTGCTACATATTAAGCTCATGTCACATTACCGCCTGCAATCTGAACCATGAAATGAGGCACTTGGAATTGATTTCCACCTCTTCCATACACTCAGTGGCAAATATTTCTATGTAACAGCGTTTTTCCTTCTGACTTTGCCTAGACATAAAGCTGGCTACCACCTACAGAAGCAGAGTGGAAGGCTTGTGTGGTGACTTTGATGGGAGCCAGAAAAATGACTTCACAAATCCAGATGGTGCTCTGGTGAGGAACGTGAATGTATTTGGTGAAAGTTGGAAAGTTCCTCTGAGCAGAAGCTCTCGTCTCAGGTACTTGATTTCCTATTTAATATCCACAGCAAGCACTGCCACTAGAAGTGAGTGAATTAAGTCATAGTTAACCTCTAGAAATAACTATATTGTCTCATTTCTGTCTTATCTTTCTCCTTCCTTTGTTTATGTGTAGGGACTTTTCCATCTGGCCAAAAGAGGCCTGAACTCTCAGTGCATGACCCCAGTTCTGTGTCCCTGTTTGGAATCACAGCCATTCCAACTGTTAGGGCACAGGGATGAATAACATCTTTGCCAAGCTTATGCAAAGATAAATGCATGTTCTGTATGGGCTTGAGCGAGTGCAAATCCTGATTCAATGTCAGTCTTTTCTCTGAAACATGAATGTAGCTTGAAATCCATCAACATAAATTCGCAGCTCTTCCCAGAAAAGGTTCTTGAACAGTCTGATTTTCTTCCTTGCATGGCTATCTATTTTTTTTCTGCATTTACACAGAAACTAAGGATATTATTTTACTGTACATGAGCATATTTGTGATCAGGAAAATTCTGTGCTAACTAGTCCATACACAACATTGAAAAAGGTTTTTCTTGTTTCATTGAGGTTTCCTTCCTTCCTACCTTCTTGCTTTCCTGCCTTTCTTCGTGTTGCTTTGAAAGCCCTTTGGAAATTGCTTAACCATTAACATATTTTCTTTTTCAGAAAGAAACTGGAACTATATTAGCTGTCTGGATATATAGTGGCTGCAAAAATTTGCCTGCCAGAATAGCAGAAAACAGTATATGGGGCTGTGTTGAGCATAAAGGGGCTCTGGAGGCTGTGCCCATAGGAAAATTCTGGCATTTCAGGCATGCAGCCAGTTGTTTAGTGAAAGCAAACATATATCCAAGAAACAGGGCTTTATTCCAGCTGCATCCTTCTGACTAACATTCAACTTTTCTTGAATAGATTGGATGGAGGAGGCAATGGATAAAACATGTACCATGCAGAATTTCCAAAGAGATGACTGGAGATATCTTGTTTACCTTAAAAATCCATAAATCTCTGAGATGGTAGGAGGTGTTCCAGTACATCTTTGATTTGCTCTATCTTCTTCTCATTCAGGATAAAACATGAAAGAGAAATAAGCTTACATTTACACCACAAGGCAGAAGTATTCTTGCAGTGTTACTGTTATTTAGAGAGTAGTACCATGAATGCTGGATATATACAGAACACTGATTATTTCATAATGACTTCATTTACAGACGAGATGTCATCACAGAAAATGAGTCTGAGGAGGAACCAGATACAGGGCTTTTCCAAGGTTGCAATGAAAATCAGCTGGAGCAGCAAAACACAACTACAAAGTGTCAAATCCTGACTGACTTGAATGGTCCTTTTGCCAAGTGTCATTCTGCAGTTGAACCAGATTTCTATTTCACGTAAGTGTCTGCTGCAGACAGTTGTTCTCCCTGTTTGCAAAATCATTTTGGCAATAGTTTCTGACAAGAACTATATTCAGTCATCTAGAGTCTTTAGGGTACTAATAGGAGTGGAGGATAGTATGTGACTTTGTAGAACTAGACCCAATGATTCCATTTTTTATATATTTACACTCATTTATTTTTAAATAGTTGTGATTATCTTGCTTTCATCTATTCAGCGTTTTACTTCTCTGCTAGCTCTACAAAGCAGCTTTCCTCTTTTCCCACACAGATATAGTAATGGTGTTAAGCATTATTCCTGTAGCCTGGAATTTCCAATGTGCTTACAGTTCTCATCCACATTCAGTAAGAATTTAGCACCTGGTTCTATTGGGTAGCAGTTCTATCTTCATACAATCTGTATTGTACCATAGCCAAAGGCTGAAGCTGTCAGTCACACTTCTTGAATTTTTCATGGAGAAGTACAAAAACCAGATTAGTGAAGAGTAACTAACCTGATATCTTCAAGAAAGTTCCCTCTGCTGTGTTTCAAGGTTGCTCTGCCTCCTACATATATAACTCCAACATACATAATTCTGAGCTGTATTCATCCCCACATTCATCTTTCATCCTTCATCCATCATCATTCACAAATTTGCCAAGTAGCTGCCAGTTTTCTTTAGTTACATAGTTATGCCTAATGTTTAAAGACAGACAATGCCCACCTCAAAGGCCCTCTTATCTGTGAGAAGAATGTTAGCAGTATCTTAAGCCAAATAAAGTGGACCACTGGCTTCAATGTGTATACCTATATGTATATCTATATGTATTTGTATATCTATGAATCTATATCTATAGGTTATACATGAATTATATAGATAGATGTAGATGTAGATGTAGATGTAGATGTAGATGTAGATGTAGATGTAGATGTAGATGTAGATGTAGATGTAATATATCTCCTGATTATTAACATAAGGCTACTTTTCTCCTCACTCTAGAATTTGTTTGGGCAGCCTGTTCTGCCTGCTTAGTGGTTGCTCTGATTTTTCTGAGGTGCTGCATATTTACAGATTCCATTCCTCTTGGATATCAATGCCTCTGAAAATCAGGCCATGAATACTCAAATGATGAACAAAACTGAGAAGGTAGCACTGGCAAACAAACACTAGATAAAGCAGAATTCTGTGTCAACACGCAGGACACATGGACATGGACAGGGTACTCATGTATTGAAAGAAGTGTGTAGCTCAGTTGTAACACTTAGCAGCATGAAAAAGTGCTCTAAAAGCAAGATGTATCCTGAAAAAGAAGCAGAGAGCAAAGAAGGACTTACTGTGTTAAGTCAGGTAACTCTTCATTGCTTGGTCCAAGGGAAGATTAGATTGTTTATGAGGAAATTTTTCTATTTAGGGCCATAGTTTAGTGGTGGACCTGGCAGAGTTACGTTAAAGGTTGGGCTTGATTATCTTAGAGGCCTTTTCCAGCTCTAATGATGTTATGATCCTATATGGACACCTCACATAGCAGCAGCAGCTGCACAAAAATGACCTGATCTTCCCAATCATGTACTTGGAGTGTCTTTTATTTCTCTGTTTCCTGTCAGCCAGATACTGGAAAACAAAATTAACTCGGAGTCAGGCAGAAAAGCAGATGAAAACAACCAATAACAAATGTGCTGGGAATTAATGTTTTCTCATGTTGCACACAGGAGCTGCCTGTTCGATATGTGTGTGGAAGAAGATGAGGTTGCTACCTTGTGTCGCAGTCTGGAGGAATATGTGCTGGCTTGTCAGCAGCAAGGAGTCAGCATGGATGGCTGGAGGCAACAGTCAGGCTGTGGTAAGCACAGGAAGAAACAGAAAGTAGGGATTCTACCTACGGGACTCTTAAAATCTGAAGTTTAAGCCTTTTCCTATATCAGATCTTCTCAGGGAGTAAAAACATGTTGATTCACGCTTTGCATATTCCTCACAGTTAAGCACACTTATTTTTCCAGACTCTCTTCTGTGTCCTATGCTGACTTTTGTATTTAAACTCCAGCGTAGAGAGATGCTTAGGAAATTAGCTGTCAACTCCATGTCACCAGAAGTTTTGTGGGTGAAAAGATGTCCCCATTCCCAATGGGACAAAAAGTTTAAATTTTGGGGTTCATCACAAGCTACAAATCTGAAATTTAATTTCAAACTCTCTTTAAATCTACAAAATATACTAATTGTCTTTTTTACCTGTGAAACTTCAAGATGAAAAGAAATTAAACTGAAAACTCAATACTTTTCACACCAAAAAATACTGAAATAAAAATTATAATCATCTCAAACATCTTTCCCCCCCCATTTTTTTTTAAGTTTGGATATCCAACAGACCATATTTTCCCTGTGTCTGATATGGTTAGGTAACTTTGTATTTCTGGTGAAACACAGTTCCCAAAGTTGTGGGACAGCTCTGGCACTTCAGGGATGGCAACCCTGAATGTGTGAGAAGTTGTTTTGAAATCAGTGTATACCAGGAATGAGAACACAGTTACAAATAACTTTGATTATGCATTTCCTGACTTTGGAGTGCTTTACTTACAACTTCAATACTATTATATAGGTATGCACACCTCTGTGTGTGTGTGTGTATTCATCATATTGCCTCCTACAAAATGGATCAGAAAGGGAAATCTGTAAGTAAGTAACACACAGCAGCCTGGTATAACTGGTCTCCTTATTTTTACAGTTATGTCATGTCCTGCCAACAGCAACTACAGCTCATGCATGACTGCATGCCCAGCATCCTGCAACGACCTGACCAGCCCCTCTGAGTGTGAATCACCCTGTGTTGAAGGCTGTGAATGTCTCCCTGGTTATGTTCTTAGTGGCTTTGACTGTGTGCCTTACAAACAGTGTGGCTGCACATATCTTAACAAATACTATGAGGTATGGTCTCTCTGTGGGTCAGACAGCTCCCACAGCACTAAACAGTGTTTTCTCCTGTTAGTTACTTTGGCTATCTCCTCATAATCTTCAGTATGTAATTTTGCAGTGGAAACATTAGAAACAAAGAGCAGTTGCTTAATAAAATTCTGGTTTTTGAAGAAAGAGAAGAGAGGTCAAGATCTCTTGGTCTCTCTCTGAAACTCTGCCTGACAGTCCAAGACAGACACTTGAAGAAATTACGTGATTAAATTCATGTTGATTCTTGACCTTTATTACACTTATAGGCTCTAAAGTTTACAACACACCAGTTAAAGAAAAATTCTGTGCATCACTGTGGCATTGTTCCTCAAAGTGAAGAGTGGTATAGACAGGGTTGAGAGTCTGTAGAGTTGGATAGGACATGAAGAGAGCCCTGAGCAAAACAGTTATGAGGAGAATCCTCCATTGCCACTGCAGGATAGAACAGCTCCATTATCTCACAGATTTCTGGTTAACCACTAGATATTTGGTACAAAAAAGGCCAAAGCCAGCAAAGCCAGTAAAGATTTACTATTAAGAGGTGGCACTTTTAAGAAAAATGGCAGGTTGTATTTCCAAATTGCCTTGAAGTATGGTGTGATTCCTCTGCCACTCATCTCCAGCAACAGTTGCCCATTTTTGGTTGCCCTGCCTGGAGCTAGGATCTCATGCCCCAAATCTCCTTTTGCTGTCTTTCTTGGGCCATCCTCGAGTTTCAAAGAGCTGCATTAGTAAGCTGCTTGCTTTCTATTTTTTTTACAAACTAGTTTAGAAAAACCCAAATCTGTCCTATTTCCGTTCATCAGGAAAGCACTGAAGAGAGTATAATGAGGGTTCCAGTGCTACATTCATGGATTTTTTTTGCTGATTTTATTTGCTCTTTTTTAACATCTAACTCCTGGTCTTCCAGATTGGAGAAATATTCACCACTGATGACTGCTCTCAGAAATGCCAGTGCACAGAAAGCTCCACTGTTTCCTGCTCTGACGAAGTTTGTGGGTCTGGTGAAATCTGTGGCATTTCAAACTACAGTCGTGGATGCTACAGGAGTGAGTCAACCACTATCACATTGTCTTTGATGCTATGAAGTCTTGACTAACTTTAATAAAGGGCATCACCGGGTTAGGGATAGTTGCAAGAGAGAGTGTACAGAAGAAAACCATGCAAGGGATCTTGCTCTGATATTTCACTGGAGAAACAGTGTTTCCTACTGAAGAAATAGTGTTTCTTTCCCTTATTCGTGTTGTCAGATACAAGAAACACGCTAACCTACAGGGGATGCGCAGCATTAGAAGTCAGCGTAATGTAAGCAAGAATGGTTCTCTTCAGGGTTGGATTATCTGATAGTCAAGTGTTTCTCCTTTTTTCCCAGGTGGTCCCTGTATGCCAAACCCTTGTAAGAATGATGGTATTTGCTCTGAAACTTCCAACAGCACTTCCCTCCACTTCTGTGAATGTTCAGAACTCTACACAGGAACAAACTGCGAGACTGAAAAATTAGGTAATAAAACTATTCTGGATTTCCCTGTCTGCATTAAACACATCATTTTCAAATATGGATGTTTTTATGGAGAACATTTGGCTTGCTCTTCATTTTCATGATGTAGGTTAGTAACCCAGTGGGCGAGAATCTGTGGTCATCCAAGCAGAGAGAAGGGTCACAAGTCCAGTAGAGAGGTACCAGAAAGCAGGACAGCAGGGCTTGGTACAGCATACAGGACCTGGGTCTGACACCCAGAGAGAACACAGTGAAACCAAACAGACAGGCAAGGGTGGAGAAAAAACCTTTCTGTCCACAGTACGGTTAGCTTTCAGTGACAAGGCGCTGTTTTGTTCTTCAGTCGTAGAGCCTGACTCAGAGGATTCGAACCACACAATTGCCATTGTTGTTGGAGTTGTGGCAGGTGTAGCTGTTATTGTCATTCTCATCTCCTCCACTGTGTACCTGTTCAGGTAAGGCTTTTCCCAGCTTTGCTACATTCAGCAAAGACACCTCTTTTAGCACCTCTAAACCTCAAAACTCCCATCAGTCACATACCTGCAAGACCAGAAAGGAGCCACAGCACTGGAGATCTCTTCTGAGGAATCTGAGGGAAAACTTACCTTTTTTTAAAATCAGGAATGAACATATGCCATTTCTTTTATACAGGGCATATGCATAATTTATCATAAAACTCTGGCTTCTCCAAAACCCAGTTCCATTCATGTTCACAGCATTGTTTGATCTCTCACTATAAATAAGAATAGAAATTAAAATGGGTTGTTCTTTTTTTTTTTTCCCCATTGTATCGAAGGAAGAGAAAGGTGGATACAGCTACAATATCAAGGGATTCTTCTATGAAATGGTCTAGAGATGAACTGGATGCCCGAGTACGTGAGCAAGACTATGGCTGCATCGTGAACAGAGCATTTGATCAAAACGACTCCCCAAATACACATCTATAATTAACAATACTATTCCTATTCCTAATAATTTGTCATACCTTTTACTCTTGTATTTAATCATATTTTAATACTTTGAGAAGAAATAATAATAAATTTATCATTGCATTTGTTGAAAACCTTTGAAATTGTTCATTTAAAATATCTCTCAGATCTCAAATTGTAGGCCCAAACTGAAATATGTTCTAACTGACAGAAGAGACTCTGTTGTCTTCAAAAGATGTTTGAATAACACAAATTCCAGACAGATCTTGATGGCACAAGTGTGCTGCACAACATCACATACACACCTCTGAGAGATGTACAAACTGTGGACTGATGGGGTCAGAATTCGAACTGAAAGATAGTAGGTTAAGGTTAGATATCAGAAAGTAGGTTTAGGTAAGACTTTGGAAAGAAATTCCTTACTATGAGGGTAGTGAGGCACTGGAATTGCTTATCCAGAGAAGCTGTGGATGCCCTGTCCCTGAAAGTGTTCAGGGACAGGTTGCACAGAGCTTTGAGCAATCTGTTCTAATGATAGGTGTCCCTGCCCATGACAGGGGTTTGGAACTGGATGATCTTTTGGTTCATTCCAACCCAAACCATGATTTTACGAACTAGTTATAACATCCCATGCAGGTCTTCATGAGATCTTACCCAAATCCTTCATGGGGAGGGGATTAGTTGGCTGACATGGACACAGTTTTTTACCCCTCTTCTGGCAAGGTATGTCCAACTAGGGAGAGAAAGAAACAAGACACTGAGCTCACCTGAGGACAGAAGTAATAAAAAAGATGACCCCCATTATTTGCATAGAGTGGAGGGGACAAGAAGCAGGCTTGTCATCAGTCCCCATCTGTGAGGACTAAGCAAGAGCATAACTTAACAAAAACCTTCTGAAGAATGAGATCGTGTCATAAACTCTCCTTGGGGGGGTCTTTGCAAACTCAGAAGCTGCCACACTGATGAATGTGAGAGGAGCTCTGCATCATCTCAGCCCAGACCATACTAAGGACTCCCCTACATCAGGAAACCAAAGGTATTTGCAGCAATGCCTAGTTACATGCTGTATGTGGGACCCACCCCATGACAGATCACTCACAAAGCTCAGGGACTGAAGCATTGCCTGAACCTTGCCCAACCCCAGAACAAATTAGCAGGGCTGTGAGTGGAACTTTGAGACGTAAAGCACCATAAAATTTTTTTCAGACAGACACTCAGAAATACAGGAGCTGAGGGCCCCAGACTGTGAGAGCACAAAATCTACAGGGTTTCTTTTGTTTGAGGTTCCTCCTCAGAGGCTTCCAGCTCAAGTTATTGTTTTGTTGTTGCACCATGATCAATTTATTTTAAGGATCCCAATTTGAGTCTCTGCTATGGGAAACCTGAGGCCCAGCAGGTGAGAAGACTTTGTCTGAATGTGTGAGTGTGAAGTGTACAGGGAGTCAAGAGGGGAACCTCAAAGGGGCTTAGTCCCAGCTCAAGTGCAGGAAGTGTGCCAGAGTGGGTCCTGGATGGCAGGACAGGACCTTGCTACTGTTTCTACTGCAATGCTGGTTATCATTTACTTACCCTTTCTTCTTTCCTTTGTATCCATAAACTCACGTGTACTGTTAGGCAGAGAAGTATTTGCAGTCTCCATGTTGAGTTAGGTGATTCTGGTCCATTCAAGAACACATCAGCTGTCCATATGCATAGGCCACATCTATTTTGGAAAGGGTATGAATAGAAAGGGCCTTTCAACCTCATTACACAATGAAAACGAATCAGCGAGAGAGACCTACTCATGCACAAATGAACTGTCAACTTTATGCTGGAATTTCACTGTGTTTATAATACCGTCTTTGCTGCCTGTTCAGTGGCAGTTTCTATTGCACTCTCACATCTGCTACAGTGGTTCAGTGACTGTTGAGTAGTACTGCCCACACTCACCTCCCTTTGCACTGGGTGGGAGCACAGCCCAGTCCCTACCCTACAGGATCCCAGCTCAGGCTCCCCCAAGCAACAGGACCCTGCTGTGTCCAGGTAAAGCAGATATATGGGTTCCCATTTATATGCTTTTTTTTTTTCCATACCACAAGAATTGCCTTGGTGATTCAATTTCCACTGCAAAGCTTTGCAAATAATTCAGACTTAAAGAAGGAGATGATACAAAAAGCAGAACTGCCTTTCAATGCTCCACTGAATTAACAATTTCATGTCACTGGAAGACAGAAAGCTGACACATCTTCTGCTGCTCTCATCTTTTAAATCTATCGCCTTGTTCATACGACTTCTGAAATGCAAGGCTTTAAATATACTGCTTAGTTCAACTTACCCAGAGGGCAGTTTTCTTGTTTTAGCACACTGTGCCAGGACCAGTAAAGGTCTTGGCTGTACGGGCTCAGCTGGGCTCGTCTCTTGGACCAGGACCCTGGTTGGGAACAACCATGAATTTTCTTTGATGTCTCAAAGGAAATGCCTAGGCAACGTCATAAAAACACATGCTAAAAATCCCTTTGCCCTAAAATTATTGCTCAGAGCTCCACCCCCTTTGTTTCTCATCGCGGTGAAGAAGTAGAACGGCAGCACCCCATTTTTCTCTCGAAAGGTTTCCTGATGCTCACTCACCGCTCGGCCGAGCGGGACTGGAGCCCCTCCGCGGCTGGAGGGGCTCGAGGAGCTGCGACAGTCTCCGGGAAAGTGGCAATGGCAAGTCCCCCGCGGGAGCAGGATCGGATTTTCCACTAAACGAGTGTTTTGGCAACAATCTCGGGGGAGGAGTGTCCGCGTGGGAGGGGCGGTGGGACGGACAAGGCGGGGACGGTGGGACGAACGGGATGGAAGAGGAGGGGACGGACGGGACAGCTCCCCGTCAGTGTCGACAGCGATCCCGGCAGGATCGGTGCAAGCGCCATCTTCCTGTTATTTATAGCGGGAGCAGCGAGCCGGGAGCCCGGCTGCGGCAACAGCGGGGCAGGCGCAGGGGTGAGCGGAGCGAGGGGGATGCGAGGGGGCGTTTTCCAGCTGGATGCAGCCCCTGCAGGCTGCCGGCGGCGGACGCGGCTCTGGCGGGCGGCCGGAGGTGCCCCAGAGCCCGGGCACGGGCTGGGCACCGCGGACACCCCCGGGCAGCCGCGTTCCGGTAGCGGAGCGAGCCCGGGCCCGGCGGCAGCGGAGCCCCGAAGGGAGCGCGGCCGGGACGGGAGGGCGGGCACCGCGGGCGGGCGGGGGCAGGCGCGGACGGCGGCAGCAGCTGGACACACCGGCGGGCCGGGCTCGGCCTTGGGCCGATGCGCTGGCTGGGAGCGGGGCCGTTCGCTGCCTCGCCCTGCGCCGGCGGGCGGCAGCGGCCCCGAGCCGGGTCCGGCCGAGCGGGGCCGCCGCTCCGGCAGCCGCTGCCCTCGGGGCCCGCCACTGACACGCTCCGTGCTGCGCTCCCGGC